GGAGAGGAGTCGCCTTGGACTTTGAAGACTGCGGACGGTTTCTCGTTGGCTAATGCGCCGATAAACCGGAACTGTGGGCCATTGGGTGAAGGGGTGGATTCGGGTAATTGGATGTAGATTGCTGCGGCGGTGTCTTGCGGGAGGACCGTGCCCGGTAAGAAGAACACGACGACTTCTGTGAAGGGAGGGTTGAGAGGAAAGGTGAAGGCGAATTTTGTGGCCTGGCCGTTGGGCTGTGCATCCACCGCAACAATGTCTGTGAGGCAGGGCCTGCCGGGGACGATGACGGAGAACATGGCGGGTGGGGGAGCAGCGGTAGGTACCGATTGAGTCAGTTTATGTATGATACTGACGTATGGAAGGCATGTAGAAGGGTATCAGATGTGATAATTAATCGTACACAGCCGTGTCAAGCCACCGGCCAAAGGATGTTAAGCATTCTGATTGATCTCCTGAGCTTGGGTAGCAGAGCTATAGAGAAATCCCTGGCGCATTCGATGATGGAACCTCCGAGAAAGACTGCGAGTGACGAAATGCCCTTATCGATAAGGGCTTGTTTGTGGCTTAGCATGCGGCATGCCGCATGTAGTACGACAAGGCAGATCCGGGCGCATACTCTCAGCCTGATTTCCCAGCAAGATTGTATATAACAACGGATATAATCATTGGTGAAGAGTGTACATAGTTATCTGCCTCGATCTCATCGTATTTCTACAGGCACAATGGGAAAGTCGTATCTCGAATTGGTGCACGAATGCGACAAGTATTACAACTTTCCTTCAGCCCCTTTTCAATTGTTCTAATTCTTGGCAGATTCCCATACTACGAGGATAGTCCAGCATTTTATGCAGCCCACTTGAAGAATTTCCACGCTTTCAAAGTAAGCGGTTGTGATGCTGTGCTCGGGTATATCCTCAATTCGGTGGTGGAAAAGTTCTACTGGCCGGAGGATTGCTGGACGGTCGACTCTACAAATCAAACAGTCACTCTCGTCACCCCACCAGGTGCGACAGCCGACCAGCGAAGCCAATTGGTCGCAAAGACTCTCCGTGAAGCAGTCAAGAGAGGAACCTTTGACCTTTTGAAGGGATGGCGCAATGAGCTCTACCCCGTCTACGGTCCAGGCGGGGAGTTCCTGTTGGAAATGGAACGGAGCGCGAGTCCGCTTTTCGGCATCGTCTCATATGGTATACACTGCACTTGCTACGTTGAAGACGAAAATGGATTACACATCTGGGTCCCGAGGCGGTCACGGACGAAGCAAACGTACCCTGGAATGCTGGACAACACCGTGGCCGGCGGAATGAGCACCAAAGAGAAGCCCTTTGAGTGTTTGGTCCGCGAGGCGATGGAAGAGGCGTCTCTACCCAAGGATGTGGTCAGGAAAAACGCCCGCTCCGTTGGGTGTGTCACATATGTCTATGTTCGTGAAGCGCGAGCTGGAGGCGAAACGGATCTGCTGCAGCCGGAGGTTGAATACGTCTACGATGTCAAGCTCAGCGCCGACGTTGTTCCGAAGCCCTGCGATTCCGAGGTCGAAGAGTTCAACCTATACACTATCGACGAGACCAAGAAGGCACTGGCAAACGGTGAATTCAAGCCAAATTGCGCCGTTGTATTGATCGATTTCTTCGTCAGACACGGGATCCTAACGCCCGAAAACGAGCCCGATTACCTGGAGATTGTCGCAAGGATTCACCGCCGTCTTGAGTACCCAACAGTATCGCACGCCACGAGGTAGGCTATCATGCTACCGGGAATTGCGCGAGCTGTAGACGAACAGGTAGAGATATATGTGTCACGTTATGTTCTTCTATTTCATTTGATATACCCAATCATCCAATCAAACGCCGACGCTGCAACCCGAATTGAATAATGCAAATCAACTTTTCTGCCAAGCAAGAAAGCGAAACGCTCGCAAGCTATCGGAGAAACGAGTTGACGGAAAGAGCTTTTTGGTTTATTTCTTGAGGAGCAGATACACGTAGTCAATGCGTAGAGGAGCCAGCTTCTTGTAGGGCCCTTCGAGGTAAAGTAACAGTCCGCCAAAGGAGACAAAAACAGCCCTGTATGCGCAAATCGTCAGTAGATGTCCGGTGCAGATAAGATACCCCCAGTCAAAACACAAGGCATGTGACAGGGAATCAAGTCTTACATGTTGCCCTGGGTCGCTGCCTCCTCGAACCGATAGACCTTGCCGTGGCAGACATAGTCATAGTCATTCGCCAAAGTCTGCTCACCGGCTCCAACTTCTCTCCAGCTGGCCTTTGCCCCTGTAGCCTCCTTGCCGTCCAGGGAAAGTGTCGAAGCAAGTGCCATAGAAACCGACTCGCCAACTGCGCAAGGGTACAACTCGCTGTTGATATCGAGAGTAAATGTGGTCATGGAATCGGAAGAGGTGCAGGTCAGACGAAAAACGCGGTCATATTTCTGTGAATTGATCGCAGTGATCGTGAAGGTATCTTCGAAAAGGAGCGGATCCGACATGATTGCGATCGACCGATCTGAATGAAACTCGACGTGAAAATGTCAGATAGACGGGTGTAAAGGGCGTATATATCGACGCAGCTCTAATCTCGAGGAATAATGGAGGGGACCTCGGGTCGCGTGAATATCAATTGTTGCAAGGCACTGATGAGCGGTCTTGAAATCGGAGAATTGAACGGCAGCTTTTTTTGCTCAACTTTTAGCGCACCGCCGCTTTAGTTACCCTCCGAAAGCTGCCCCGCAACAAATTCTCAAGAGAGCTTCGAGCTCCCATTAACCAACAACAACCATTGCACAAAATGTCCTTTCGCAAGCGCAATATAGGCTTGTCGGGCGGCGTCGATCGCACATCTATCGCCAATACTTCTGCGCAGGCACCGCAAGCCACCACTACTACAGATTCGCATCCGGGTATCCGCCCCTCTCCCGACGATGGGCGACCAACTACTTCGACAGGCACACGATCGCTCGATAACCTTCTGGCGGGGCACGGAGGGCTACCTATTGGGAGAATTCTCTTAATTGAAGAGAATGGGACTACAGATTTCGCGGGTGCACTGCTACGATATTATGCCGCTGAAGGAGTGGTGCAAGACCAAAAAGTTCACGTCATTGGAATGCCCGAACAATGGGGTAGAAGTCTCCCAGGCTTAATAGGTCCCGCAGACGCTCTGGACGACAAGTCCGACAAGAGAAAGAGCGAGCGCATGAAGATTGCTTGGCGGTATGAGCGTTTGGGAGAATTCGGCGCTGGAGTCGCGGGGTCGCGAGGTATGCATCGTCAACGAATGCGTCTCCGAGCGTCCAAATCTGCAGGGTGAAATTGTGCTGACAGAAGTAGCTCCTGCTGTTTCAGGAGAACAGAGTCCAACATCCGCTGATTTGAACAAGCAAGAAGCATTTTGTCACGCCTTTGACCTCACAAAGCGTCTCACCCACCCTTCTATATCGAACTTGACTTATATACCTCTCACGCCGTCGAATGAACCCTTGTTCATCTCGATCTACAAGCGTCTTCAAACGGCAATTGCCTCGAGTCCCCCAAACACAGTACATCGTATTGTTGTTCCATCCTTGCTCAACCCTACGATATATCCACCAGAAGTCAGCCAGCCAGATCATGTTCTGCCCTTTCTCCATGCGTTAAGGGCTTTGATGAACACCCAGGGTCACCGCATCACGGCGATGATCACAGTTCCTCTGTCTCTTTTTCCGCGCTCGTCGGGACTGGTGCGATGGATGGAGATAATCAGCGACGGTGTCATCGAACTTTGTCCTTTTCCCCACTCGTCCGATGCCCTTGCAACATCTGGGGCTGCGACATCGCAGGAGGAGCCACCACAAGGCATGCTCAAGACCCATAAATTGCCAGTGCTTCACGAGCGTGGTGGCGGAAGTGATCAGAACGTCGGACAAGACTGGGCCTTCACCCTCAGCAGACGAAGATTCGAGATCAAGCCCTTCAGCCTACCACCTGCAGAAGGAGACAAAGAGGCGCAAGATGTTGCGGTACCCGGCGGGATGCCGAAGAAAGCGGACCTTGAATTCTGATTGCACGTCCACAAAGTTGGAAGATTATACTAGCGGATCTTGTTCACTACTCTTCGTGGTCTGACTGCACCAACATATTGTCCAACTCAATTTGTTCGGACATAGAGGAGCCAGTGTTGACCATGGTTCGAAGATAATGCCTGTCATAGGCATCGAGTCCGGGCCTTACGGAGACTCCTGGAAAATAGGAGCCAAGGCGACTCCGGCGAATCGCTGAGATACCGAGCCACCCTTATATGGTCAGCGCTGGAGTGATAAGAAACAACTGCAAAAGCAGTGCCTACCTAGAAATAGGAAGAATGGTGCGAAGAAGACCAAAAAGAGTAGCATTAAGAAGCTCATCACGGCAATGGCTTACTTGACCGTCGAATATCAATCAGAAACTCTTGCCACTGGTAGTCACCAGAGATATATAGTCCTGACCGCGTATATGCGCGATGTGAGATCGATCAGAGTAGATCCGAAGTCCAAGCTAGTCTCGATGTCCGGTCCGTCTACGCTGCCGAAACTGCATGCCCAAATAGGATTAGCTTCGTTTCCTGTAGGGTATATTTTTCTTCCTCAAGACCTCCACCCACTACTTCGCTCTCTTCTTTCCTCACTCGCAAAGCGCAGCTTTGGGTGACATCTATAGCTCTGGCTCTCGCAGGACGACGTCCAGAGCAGGTCGCTCTTCTACTAGCGAAGTTCTTTTGATGGTAAGTGAACGTCACTATTTTCTGGTTCTTCACCTATCCTCACATGATTATACAACTACTATAATCTGTCAATCCCCTGAAGCTCATTTAATATCTCAAAAAAAATCGAGCATACGTGATTGAGAAACGTATTGAGAATGATTTGTCTACCCTTGAATGCTCTATACCCTTGTTCTTCTCTCTCTGGAGCTGGAGGCTAACGTCGTTGCTGTTGCAACAGTGATTGATTTCATTTAAACAATTGTGCTGTCGTTATCGTCAAGAATGGATACTCAACCTTCCCTCCCTATTCCGATCTCGTATACTTCGGGTAGTTACTATCTCTTCTCAATTGATGCTGTCACGTATTTGAGACGCGAACATCACATCTGTGGTGTCTTGATCGGTACCCTGCCGCAAATCCCGCAACAAAATGTCTTCCTGGGCTTGCCGCTAGAGCTGATGCCTGAAGAGGCCAGGCTTCTGGTGGAGAAAGGTGTAGCTTGCATTGTAGACGAGGTAAAATTCCAGAAGGATGGAATGAAATCTATCATGGAGGCAGACCGGCAGAGGTACCTGCAAGATATAGAAAACCAGGGTCTCCAAGCAATGCGCCTTCAGACTAGCCGAAAGGAGCTGAGAAGGGAGGAAGCGCTAAAAAATTTAGATGAGAAGAAGGCAGCCAAGGCAAAGAGATCTGCTCCAAAACAGGTCTCCGCAGACGGCCTGCAAGACATGCCGGGCTCTGAGTTCTTTGCAGGTGACGATAAACAAACGAATTCCACCCAGACATCGCGACGAACCTCAATTGCAATCCAACCTCAAAACGCCATGGGAGTCACTCCCGCTACATCCGAAAATCTTCTCCCTTCTGAACTGCCTGCTGAGCAGCTTTTATCACTGCCGGAGGTGCCATCATCGTACCCCTTGTTTGCCCACCTTCACTCGGAGGGCTATTATCTATCACCAGGTCTCCGATTCGGCTGCCAGTATCTTGCATATCCTGGCGACCCTCTGCGATTCCATTCTCACTTTTTGGCCGTCTCCGCTGATTGGGATGAGGAGATTGATTTGATGGATATCATCGTCGGAGGTCGACTAGGCACTGGTGTCAAAAAAGGCTTCCTCATTGGAGGAGCCGAGAAAAAGAATGAAGACTCGATCAACGAAGCAGGCAACAATGTGAGGACCTTCAGCATCGAATGGGCGGGAATGTGAAGCCGGATTGTGAGTGCTTTTACCGCAACCCACATTTTCACTCACATGGCGAGCAGGCCATACATATATGTGGCCCAGCGGCACGCTCATCCTACCCTCGTCAGGGTGTCCACTCCGCGAAAACGCTTCGGGTCTGGACCCTGTCACTTCGAAAACAGCTCAGCCATGCTGCGCTACTCGATGAAGATGAAATCTGCAATATCAGGGCCTGCACGCCATAAGCTGGCTTGCGATCGCTGATCGGCTGCACGGATCTGATCCCAGAATGCGGCAGAAGTTGCTCCCACCAAGTTTACGCCTTGCGCACGCTCCATTCGTCTACTAGCAGATGAGTCCAAAAGAGATGAAACGGAGGAACACCAGATCGCGCAGATATAATCGATTGACGAGGAAATTTAAAAAATCATGCGAAAGTTGTCGATTGAGATGTAGTGTTAATCAGATGGGCCCTATTGCACACGGCAACTTCACCGCAACGGCGTACTGATAGTGCGAACATCGCACTGGACCTATGATCCGTCGCAGATTGCGTAGCATTGGAATAGAAGGGAAGTGTTGCCCCAGCTGCGCCGCGACAGTGTGTATTTGTAGTCCATTGGTAGTCGAAGGGGAAACACGGAGACCTGTCGATCCGATTTTTCTCAGAAAATAACAATTATGTGTGGAAATTTCCCGGGAGATGAAGCTCTCGAGCCCTGATCCCAAGCTGGCCATCTTTCGGAGCAGATGTCGGCGATCAGGTGCTGCTTTCCCCTAAGTAGACGGTTTAGGGACCATCAAAAACGCAGGCCCCAGCAGACGACTGCTTAGTAGTGCATTCATTGTCCGCTTTCGCCACCGAGTGACGATCATGCGACCTGCTGATGGCAAGTCAAAGCCTGCATCGCCAATTTTGACAGTGTGTTGTTGAAACCCGATGCTACTAGATGTATTCCACATTTCGCCATTTGAATTTCTTGTTGGCCCGATCGACTGGGCGATTCTCAAATTGGCTGCCGTGAAGCTCAAACGTAAGTGCCTTCTTGACGTTGTCACCATCCGACATAACCGTGTCTTCATCATCTGCGGACGGCAAAGGAACAGAGAAGCGGAAGATAGTCTGTTCTTTGGGAATAGCTGCACGGCGCAAATTAGCTCAAGGTTTACGTCTACAGCCCTGTAATGGGGCCTGCAAAAGCCAACTCACTTTTCACCTCATCCTTCTCCGTGACAATCATAAAGGTGAACTTTGTGTCCCTCACCACGATTCCCTTCACACCTACCCGCCCCGAGCACCGACTCCGAACAACCTCAACCTCAGCACCATGGAAATCCGCAGTAACCAGCTTGCTCCCATGCGACTGTGGCGTGATAGGAACCTGTCGAACTCGTAGGTCCAGGATCTCTTGCATATAACCGGCCCATAATTTGTGGAGCTCCTTGAAGATCGAATATTTGCATTCCTCCTTCGGAAGATCGTAGATGCCTGAAATGCGCTTTTCGCGCGCGGAGAGGGGCTTCGGTTTCTGCTTACGCAAGAAGTATTCCTTTTTGCGGAGACGGTGTAGGCGACGTCTTTCTCGATTGTCCGCGGGTGTGGGGGAGGTCGGTCTGAGGTAGAGGGGTTTCTGTTTGATGCGCTCTGTGAAGAGTTGTTCTGCTGTGTCTGGTGAGTGGGCGCGCGCAAGAAGCTCGCGAGCAATGTGAGGCTTCGGAGTGGTCATCATGCGGAATATAGCTTGTTCGGACGACCGGACTGCGAGCCTAGAAAGGTTGAATGAGAAATATGGGATGTGGTGAGAGCGATGAGAATTATTTCAACTTTCCATCTGGAAGACCTCACTATCACGTGATCTGATATGCGCTGGAGATGGCGCTTCTGCTTCACCCCCAGCAGACCTACATATAAACCCTCACGAGCCTTCTCACCCAGGAAGGCCATACTCTATTGAATCTTCAGAACAGGCTCTCAATCCAGGCGCCCTGCCTAGGATAAGGGACAGCTCCCCCTCCGCGCGCTGCCTGACA